GGCAGGGTAGGGAAATTAGAGGGGCTGATTCCGTGTAACTACCTAAAAAGCTTCCAGACTCTTCCCTGAAAGGTACTGCAGAGAGTCCATCCCATCTCCTGGCTGATGCTCCTGTGCATCTACAGCAACGGAATGGCTGGTCACGTTGTCCTTAGGGCATCAGCCTGGACCACTGGGGCTTCCAGAGAAATTGAAATAAACAGCTTCTTTAAAAGCCCTAGGAAACCAGCAAACCAGCTCCTCCCTCAGTGCCATCTTGATCAGCATCGCTTTACCTGTTGGTTTCTTCCTTTGCCATTTCCTTGGTGCCTGGCATAGACCTGGAGCCTGCAGTGAAGCCAAGGGCTACCAGGCTGCAGGGGCTGGATAGAAACTCTCAGAAAGGGACAGACTGGCTCCCTGCCCTGTGACTTCCCAGCTCAGGGCCCCGCTACATCGGTCCAGCCCTCGGTGCCTCCCCACCCCACCTCCTGCGGCAGAGTTTCAAGTCCCCTCATATCCTTTCACTGTGAGGTCCCCTGACCCTTCGAGGTTTCTCTGAGCCTCCTCTCACCCCAGCCCTCCGCCTGTCCTTCCACTTCTCCAAGACCAATCTTCCCCCATGCTCTTGCCCCTCTCCCCTTCATTTCTCGACCTGCCCTTTTCCCACGTGGCCTCTGCAGCAACTGACAGTGCTGCTCACAGTCTCCCTGACACATGGCTCCGTGGCTCCCTGGCCACTACCCTCTCCTGGGACTGCCTCTTCCTGCTGTTGCTCTAGCTCACTCTCCTGCTTCCTCTGTCTCTGCCTATTGCCTAAGGGCAGATGGGGCAATGGTTGTGCCTGCAGCAGCCTCTGCTACACACTTCACACTTTCCCACAGTGACCTCAGCCAGGCACAACTCCAATGAGCTCCATCCAGCTGATGACAGCAGACTTTCACCTGGAATCGGGAGCTCTCTCCTGAGCTCCAAGCTGACAGCTTCTCTGGAACATCCCACAGGCACCTCGCACTCTGCCCATCTCTTCCTATCCATGTTCTTCAGCCTTGGTTTCTTCCTGGTCACACAGGCTTGAATTCTGAGTCCCCATTTCTCCTCAGCATCCTTCTCTCACAGAAGGCTCAGTACCTTTCCTCCAGTGACTTTATCCTGATCCATGCTGCCTTATCTCAGGCCCTCATAACTCCTAACCCACACAAGGCAAGTGTCTCCCAACAGGTTTCTGCCTTGAGTCTCTCTTCCCACTCATTAACTCTTTATGCTGTTCTCTATTTTTTTAAAAATAAATTTATTTATTTATTTGTTTGTTTTTTATTTTTGGCTGTGTTGGGTCTTTGTTGCTGTGTGTGGGCTTTTCTAGTTGTGGTGAGCAGGGGCTACTCTTCATTGCAGTACGCGGGCGTCTCATTGTCGTGGCTTCTCTTGTTGCGGAGCACGGGCTCTAGGCACACGGGCTTCAGTAGTTGTGGCACACAGGCTCAGGAGTTGTGGCTCACAGGCTCTAGAGCACAGGCTCAGTAGTTGTGGTGCACGGCTTAGTTGCTCTGCAGCATGTGGGATCTTCCCAGAGCAGGGCCCAAACCCGTGTCCCCTGCATTGGCAGGCAGATTCTTAACCACTGTGCCACCAGGGAAGCCCCTATGCTGTTCTCTTAAGAACAGTACCCTTATCTTCCTCCTGCTATCAAAAACTTCAGTAGTTTTTCCATTAACTACGGAATAAAGTGAAAATATCCTGGCATGGCAGGAAAGAATTCCCACCATCTGGCTCCATCCTATTTTCCAACTATAGTCCTCTCTACACTCAAATTACTACCGCCACAGCCTCCACATCTTGTTAAACTCAATCCCTTCCCCCACACCTCTTATAACTTCCAGCCTCCATGTCTTTTTCCCCCGTATGCCCTTCTCAAGTCTCCTACCTTCCTCCAAAGTGCAGTTCAAATGCGGCCTCCCATCCTACTCCCTGAAGCCTTCCCTCGCTGTGATCTACAATTATTTTACGTCCCTGTCATGCTACTGCTTATACTGTATCCTCCACGCCGCCCCCGGCCCCCATACTCCCCTCCACCTCAGCAGACTGAACTCATGGAGGGAAGGGACTGGATTTTTCACATCCATCCTGAAGTTCTCAGCATCTAACACTGTGCTTAATTTTTGTTTAATCACAGCTCTTATTTTATGGTTTGCAATATTACGTTTTCTGTAACTCTGTCTCCTTCACTAGATCGGAAACTCCTTAAGGTGAACAATCATGTCTTACCAATCTTGTCATTACCACTTAGCAACAAGCAGACTTTACAAATGAAACAAAAGAAAAGTCTTTGCATTAAATGCATATCCGGAATGAGTTCAAACTTTAAACATCAAGTGTAGACAACTACCTAATATTTTTTAACCAAGGTTTCCCCATCTCAAGCCCAAATTACCCCCACATCCTTGTCAGCTCAGTGCAGGGCTGCAGATGGCACAAGGTGAAGTTCACAGAGAATCACGAGCCATATACTCTTTTCAGAATAACATGAATATGACAAATATGCAGCAGGTCACTCTTCTGCCTGAGCAAATTCCAGTACTTGTGCCCCAGGAAGGACACCCATCCAAGCACCTGAACTGGACGAGGGGGCTTGCTGACAGAAGAGCTCCACAGGCCATGTTGTTACCATCCTTTCTTGGCTGCCTGTTTCTGAACCCTTGAAGTATCAGAGTCAGAACGCTGAGAGCTGGAAGCCCCCCCCCCCCCATATAGAGGGCTCCCCTTTTACAGAGTGTGATTTCACAGAAAAGTTCCTTGAGCAGGTTACCTCAGGAGTCCTGGAAAATACAGACTGAAACTCTCTCTAAGGCAAACAGGCCAAAGATCAACCCGCAGAATCAGGAGGGAGAAAAATTCAGGCATTCCAGGCTGCCTCTTCCACCACTATTACCCTTTCTCAATTGCATAATGCAGGTAAGAAGGGTTGGAAGGCTGACTGCTGCTGTTCAGTTTCACTTCATTCCTTTACTAAACATGTAGAGAGTCACAGAACTTTCCAATTTCTAGCTGTGTAATGTCCCTGGCCTCTGAGGTATTTCCTCATCTATAGAACAAAGATAATGATCTTTGCTCTGCCTCCCTGATAGGGCAGGCTCAAGAGAGAAAATGCACTGAAAGAGCTCTGTAAACTGAAAAGCCCTATGGGTATGATTGTTATTCACATTATCTGTGCCAACCCTCTAATTTTCCAGTTGAGGAAACCCAAGCTCTGAAAGATCACATGGTAGCAGTTAGGATGAGAACCCAGGTCTTCTGAGTACCTGCTATACACCACTTTACTAAGTGGTAATTGCAGGCGCAAACTCTGTATGTTTAATGGACAACCTCTTTCTCCCCTCCAGCGTGTATGAAGAAAAACTCCAAAGAAGACTTAGGTTAAAGAAAAAATGGATTCCTGGGTAGAGGAAGGTGATCAGTAGTAGAGACAACCTCACTATTCCCTCTCTGGTTTGGAAACAGTCTAGGGCCGCTTAGCAGCCTGTGGCTGTCCAGCCGTCCATATGGCCGGCCATTGATGGACTCTTGGGGGCGAGGGTGGGTGAGGGAGGATAAGGCCATCGCTCTGAATCTCGCAAGCGGGAGAAGAGTCTCCAGGAGGGAGTGAAGAGCCCGGTCTCAGGACAGACGCTCCAAGCTGCTGTATGGAATGTGAAAAAGGCAGGCTCTAGTTTGGGGAGGGTGGTCCCTGGCCCTCGCCCGGAGACGTGCGAGGGAGTGAAGATATGGAGATGCCTTTTCAGGCCGTCCGAAGGTCGGAAGTCCTCTTTCCCTCTATAGAACTCATTCTCTCCTTCAGAGGAGTTATCTTTATTTTCCTGAACTATAATTCTCAGGCCGGCAACTGGCCTTGGGCCACCGAAAGGCCCCTTGGGAAAAGTAGTTTCGATTTCTCTTCCACGTAAGTTCCTTTCGCCCCATCTGCCAGAGCCTCTCATTCTTGGGAACTACAAATCTCAGAGCGTTCTGCAAGCACCTGGAAATCTGAAGTCGCTGTCGTCCCTGTCATCAGATGTCCAGCATCCCGCAGAGGCGTGGGAGCCAAAGACTACATCTCCCGGCGGCCACCGCGCGTCTCAGTGCGCAGGCGTAGCCGCGCCTCGCCACCCCTCCCCCTCCTCCAACTGCTCCTGTCGGTCCGTTCCCGTATTCCCCCCATCAGTTCTAATGTCCCCTCCGTGTCTCCGGCACCTCACACTCACCGCGAACTCGCGGCGTCGGGTACAGCCGCTGCGCCTTCTCCAGGAAGCGGAGCGCCCGGTCAGGCTGGTTGCTCTGGATGGCCTTGAGGGCGATGCTAATACAGCGCTCGGCTTCATCCTTGTTGGATTCCATGGCGGAACCAGAGCGCGGAACCAGGGAGGGGGAGGCCGGGAGAGCGAAAGGCTGAGCCAGCACCCGGCGCGTCGCGGGGCAGGCGGTCGCAGGGTGATGACATAAACCCTCCGCCCCTCCTTTTCCGAGATTTGAGCGAGGGCGGAGGCGCTACCGTATGTCTTCTAAGAGGGGGACGTCAAAGTGAGGCGCTAAGGGTGCAAGCCCATATTCCTGGAGTCCAAGGGGGCATATTCGGAGGTCTTAAAGTTTTGTATGCTTGCACGTTCTTGGTAGTAACTCTATGCGTTTGAGACGAATGTCTCTTATTAATTCATTCAACAGATATTTATTGAGTACCCACTATTTGCCCGGCTAGGTATGCAGTAGGTGAACAAAACAAAGCCCCTGCCCTCACGGAGCTTACATTCTAGTGTGTGTAGTGGGGTGGGGAGACGTCCAATAAAGAGATATATTCAAATAGTGACTGGCGCTTCCCTAGTGGAGCAGTGGTTGAAAGTCCGCCTGCCGATGCAGGGGACACGGGTTCGTGCCCCGGTCCAGGAAGATCCCACATGTCGTGGAGCGGCTGGGCCCGTGAGCCATGGCCGCTGAGCCTGTGCTCCGCAACCGGAGAGGCCACAACAGTAAGAGGCCTTATATTGATAAATGCAATGGAAAGAAAAAGAAAAGATAAAGAAATAAAGGGACTCAGAGTGGATGGTGCTATTTTAAACAGCCTGATAGGAGAAATCTTCTCTCAGAAGCTGTCATTTTAATAGAAATCTGAATTCAGGAGAGAGAGAGAAAGCAGGTATTCCAGATGTGACTACCTGGAAGAAAGGTGGTCTAGGCAGAAGGAAGAGCAAATACAAGGGCTCTGAAAGGGAAATTTTCTTGGTGCGTTATTACAGATCAACAGGAGCATGTAGGATTCCACAGTAGAGTGGAATCAGTTGCGGCATGCTGGATCTTTAGTTGCAGCACGTGGGATCTAGTTCCCTGACCAGGGATCAAACCCTCTGCATTGGGAATGAGGAGTCTTAACCACTGGACCACCAGGGAAGTCCCCATCAGTCATTTTTCAGTCCTTATGTGGCCTTCCCAGCGAGATTTGGTAAGAGTTTTACTACAGGTGAGAGTTCGGGGGCTACTACTATAATCCGGGTGAGAATTAATAGTAATTTGGATAAAGGTGATGGTGGAGGTGGTGAGAAGTAGTCAAATTCTGGATATATTTTGAAGACAATCAAAATGATTTTGCCGATGGATTGGATGTGGGATGTGAGAGAAAGAAAGGAGTCAAGGATGATTCCAAGATTTTGCCCTGAAGAACAGGAAGAACAGTTTCCATTTACCGAAGAACAGTGGAAGAACAGTTTCCATTTACCGAAACTGGAGGAAGATTGTGAGAGGAGCAGTTTGGTAGGAGGAATATTAAATGTCTGATTTAGGGTGTGTTAAGTTTGTGATGCCTTTTGGAGTCAAGTGGAGACGTAGAGTAGGAATTTGTATGTAAGTAGGGTGTAAGGAAGAGGATGGGCCTGGAAATATAATTTTGGAAATTATCACTATATATAAATGACATTTAAAGCTTCGAGGCTAGGTGGACAAAGAAATATAAATAGTATTTAAAGCCGTGGGACTAAATGCCCCAAGGAAGCGAGTGTAGGTAGGGAAGAGGAGAGGTCTGGTTACTGAGCCCTTTGCCAGTTTCATATTTAGAGGTCTGGAACAGGAGCATCCAGGAAGGGGGAATGAAGAAGCAGCTTGGCAAGGTAAGAAAATTACTTTCACTTAACAAATGTTTCAAGTGGGAGGGAGGGGCCAAACTCTGGTAAACCCTGTGGAAGGACAAGCACTTGTGAGGACTGAGAAATGACCAGTGGATTTTACAAGGTGGAGCTCGGTGGTGACCTTGACAGGCTGCTCTCAGCGGATGATAAGCAGTGAAAGCCTGACAGGAAGGAATTTCAGAGAGTGAGTGTAAGGAAGAAATGGATGAAGAATGTGGGGAATGTGAGAAAGACTGTGGGGAAGTTTTGTTTTTGTTTTTTAAGATGGGATATATTATAGCATTCTGCGATAGGAATTATTTAACTGGGTGAGAAATTTTGGTAAAAGGAAAGAGAGGAGACAATTATAGGAATAGACAGAGGAGGTGGCATACCGGGCATGGTGATGGCATGGCTTTAGATAGTGGCATGGACAACTCACTGATTTTTCAGGAGTGTGGCTAGGTATACTGTGGGCCAGCTGGCAGATCTGGAAGTGGGAACACAAGGAAGTTCTTTTCAGAGAGCTTTTATTTTCTCAGTGTAATAAGAAGCAAGGTCATGGCCTCCTTGGCTACAGGTTCACCCTTGGAAATTTCTTCACATCCAACCTTTCCTTCCATTCCCACTGTTCTCTTCCCAATGAAAACTCCAAGCTGGGCTGTAAAGAATATCCTGGTGTGAAGAAATCAGCGTCTCCTTAATAAGACAGCCCCACGCTTAGAGAAAGTTAAGGTCTCCACAAATTGATCGGTCCTTCATATGTGTTAAAGGATAAACACTGGGGCACCTTTCAAATAGCCTCTCTGAGGTTTGTTGACCGGGACTGCTAGGTAGTCCCCTCTCTTGCTAAGTATCTCTTCCATCTCCTGAGTGTCACGAGGCACCTCCCTTGTCAGGCTGGCAACAGGCACATCAGTTTGTGAGAAGGGTGCTCCTGTGTAAAAGGCCTGTAATTTGTTGTGTTAAGGAACTGGGCTGTGATTGCTCAGCTACTGGCTTGTAAGCCCTCCTCTCCTTTCCCACAAGGCATATCATTTTGAGTCCACAGTCAATAATTTGGCTTGGTCGGCAGGGTCTGGAGAGGCGGCGGAGTGTGTGCGTGCGTGGTAGGACCTCTTCCTGCCTCGTTTCACGGAACTGTTTCAATTCAGAAAGGCTGTGTTGTTTCAGGAGGGATTATAAATTCAGCCTGAATGCTGGTCTAACCAGCTTCTTCCATGTTATCACTCCCTACCTTTCTTAAAGATCTCAAACCGGGTGTCTTTTTTGTCTGGAGGCAATTTGACTTTCTGTGGTTCCTTCTCAGTCCAAAGGCCAGGAAGAGAGTCACATTCCTGCTCAGTTCATGTTAAAC